ATGGTAGAGCATGTGTATCCGGATATGGTTCTTGATTATGTCTCTGCTCAAGGTGTGTATGTTCGCCTCATTGTATAAGTCATTCTGATTGGTTTTTGAAGCTTCAAAGCCCAAGCGCAAGAACTTAAAGACTTCAACGACTTCCGTACTTCCGCGTATCCCGCCTGCGAAAGTAGGAGCTCGCGACGATGGTCCAATTGCGGGTCCATCGACGCTGCCAGTGCCGAGTAAGCGTTCGAAACACCTCTTTCATTTCAATTCTGAGACTTCCCATAGACCCCACGGACCGATTGCACCAGGACAACCGACGAGCCGCGCATTCAGGGAAAACCAAGTGTACGTACCGCATGTTTTTGTTCCATTGGATTTCTTATCGATTAATTATTCAGCCTCGCGTGCCCACCCTGAAAAGCGGTACACCACAATGAGCGTCATTCATCGAGGCGAGGAGGTGTTGGAGCTCATCACGGACTCGGAGGGGGAACTTTGACTAATCTGAAACTTTACATCCGGTATATAAACACCTCTTTCCGCATCTCCTAAATTTTATCCTCTCTTTCCCTCTCCACCATGAGCATCCTGAGTAACCCTCAGTTCGCAGGGATCCGTCTCGCTCTTCATCCGACTCATTCGACTATCACCGATGATGCACTGAGCTCCGACGTACCAGCTCAGGACGAGATCGACGACGACATCGAAGGCGAGAAGGAGACACTTGATTTACAGGAGATGCCTGGGGCAGATGAGGAGCTGCCTGAGGCAGATGAGGTGCCCGATGACTCTGAGTCGGGGTCAGAGGGAGGTGGTTCGGACGACGAAGACGGTGATACCAAGATGACAGACTTCACTAGCTTGCGTGCTGTCATCACGGCGGCGTCCAAAGGTGTTATCGACAGCACAGATGCGGAGTACAAAAGGTGAGTACCCTCGATTGTTTCAATTTATACCTTTTCATCCTCGCGTTTAAGGATCATAAAACTCGGTGAAAAGTTCGTTCACACCCAGGGTTTCCTCAAGGCGGACGAGCCTTTTTTCACAAACCAGCCACATCCCGAGGCAGCAGCATTTATTGTCGCATGGATCATGGCGAGGTACATATCTTACTTTTCTTATTCGTGACTTCCACTCACTATACCTTGAGTTGTGACGATATCGGGCTCGATGGAAAGCCAAAGGATCCAAGTATTGAGAGAGACTCGTACAGCCATGCGCAGAAAATGCGGGCTGCAGCTACATATGGGTTCGGGCGCATTCATGGGCTCGGGTCTCTTCCCTGGCAGAAAAGCGAAGTCAGCGGTAAGATGATCGGAAATCCCTCGGTCTCTGAAGCTGTTTCGCGATACATGGTCACTCTGAGAAAGAAGAAGGCATGTATTATGTTCACTCGTTAGTTTGTTTAGCTTACCGTTCTACAGGTTCGTGCCGGGGAAGTGGCCACCAGTGCGAGAGCCGTTACTCCGGTTTGTTTCTTTTCCCATCTCGCACCTTAATACTGACTTTGTTTTGCAGGATATCATCTACACGATCTACCATTACAATAATCAGCCACAAGTGTCCGAAATCAAGCCCGTTACGCGACGCAACCGCAATGCACCGGTGGATATTAACCAATGGGGAGGTGGCCGCAGTCGCCTCATGTTGCATTGTGTATATGTCATTTCTTTCCTCTGCCTACTCCGCTTTGACGAGGCCCTCAAAATCCAGCTTCAAGACATACGGCGGCTTACAGAAACATCGTTCGAATTGAACCTCCCGTTTCGCAAAACTAGTCAGTATGGAGGTAAGCGTGTTCAGTTCAGTGTCGTACATTGCACCTGTTAACCGTATTCTACAGAGATCAAGCCTTTTGTGCTTCATGAACTGCCCAAGGACCAGGCCCATTTGTGTCCAGTCCGTGCGCTCACCGCTTGGCTGGCATGCTCCCGAATCACCAAGGGATATTTATTCCCGACGATAACACTTCGTGATCAGATTGGAGACTCCAGCAGACCAATGGTCCGTGTTCTTCTGAACGAATTGATAATTCCCTGACATTGTTTGTGTACAGAAGTCGGAAAAGTTTCTTGAGATGTTCCGCAACAACCTCCTCGACATTGGCCTTGACCCGTACCCGTACGGTACTCACTCGTTCCGTCGCGGTGGTTGCCAGTACTTCGCATCTCATCGTCGATGGAGCCTGCGCCGTATATGCGAGTGGGGTGGATGGAGCATGGAGTTCTCCAATTTGACGATCGTCAAGTACCTGATTGGATGGAACGATGATCCCACCGAGTTGCGCGAGAACTTCCTGAACCCGAACCAGCAGATCACGGGGAGATGTTCTGCCGCATGTGGTCGTTAAAATTGCCTGTTCACATGTATTCCCACAATTGTTTCACGAATGATTTTATTGCAGACACAATGATATGTACTTCAAATATAAGGTGAATGTACATAAAGAAACAGAAAGATGCCTCGGAGACGGAGACAAGTTGAGATATAGAGTAATTAGAGGCTTTGAAGCCGCTTGTATTCTTTTGCGATAGAACTGTCCTTTGTCATGACCACCCGAGTGTTCGTCTTGCTGCAGCGGTAGCTGAATTTCGAGTTGAAATCAGCCCCGTACTCCCGTCTTGCTTGAGCCGCGAGATCCCGGTCCACATTCTTGCGCTCGCTACGAATAGCAGCACAGATGGCGGTGTAAGACATCTTCCCCCCGTCCTTGGTTCTGAACGCGCTCCAGAACTCATCCGGAGTTCCTTGTCGATAATGTTCAACGAGGAACTGGAAAAGGAATCCGGTCAACCATTGGAAGGTCATTGGCGTGGAATATATGGACACTCACCTTCCACTCAGTCCAGTTGGACTTGTGCGCGACCCACAGCCCGGTTTTCTTGAAGATTTCGGGCCAGTAAATGAGCGCCGTGGGATGGTCGTGAATCACCAAGACCGAATCATTCTTCCAGTATGCGGATGTGTCGTCCCACATCTGGTTGAGTCTTTCAATGTTCTCGGCAAAGGATGTCGCTGGAACTGCGATTCGCTTGATCGCATCGACGGCGATGTTGATAACGGTGGTACTACCTAGACGCACAGAGCGGGTGGCTACTTTGGACAGGGAAGTAGTGTCTGTGCTCGGGCTGCAAGTCGCGGGAATAGTGGTTGAATTGGCGGGCTGGGGTAGAGTGGCTGAAGGAGCCGAGATGGTACTAGACTCATAATTCCGTGTTGGAATACCGACGTGGAGATTGTGAGCGTGCGGCTGAGCAATGTGACTGGAGACATCGAAGAACGGGTTTTCCTAAACATTGATAGTCAGAGGAAGTCGCCCGCAGCAACAGATATAAGATTAGAAATGTCAGACTTACAGTGAAGTCGTAGGAAAGATCCTGCGCAGGATTGGGATCGTACACTGTATAATCAACCGGGGGGATGGGATATGCTGTAAATGGCATGAACGCTGCCTGAGACCACTGGGCCGGTTGGGTGGCATGGTTGATTCCCGAAGTTGTGATTACAGCGAGCTGGTTTTCAATGACTTGCATCCGATCGTGAAGGCTGCGGTCAGGCTGGACATCCTCAAATCAAGAATCAACCCAAGATCGTGAGCTGAAGCCGTATTGTTTACTCACCTGTGAAGACGCCTGAGAAACTGAGGTTGTTGTTGGCAAAGTGTCGGGTTTCGGAGGTATGTACGCAAGTCTTGCCAACGTACGATCCGCCTACATTCCGAAATGAGCAATGAATAGGTTTGCAGCCCCAAGCGTCTTGCTTACCCAAGTCAACAAGTCCTTGACATCATCTGCCGTCCGAGTATCTTTCGATCTTTCGGTGACCCGCTCTGTGTCGATAATTGCCGCCCTTCGATTGGTTGACTGTTTTGGTTGAGATTTCTTCTCGCCGTTCCGAGGGCCCTTATGAGTACGGCGGGTCACAGGTGTCAAATTACTATGAAAAAATGAGTGTGAATACAATGTAAGTTGGGGACATAGGGATAGATACCAGCTTGCCGGGTCATTGCAAAACCTTTCGCTATATTGCTGAAGGCGAAGTTTGAGTTGAGATTTGTTACCGCTAACGGCGAGACCATAATCTCGGCACATGTCCTTTAACTGATCCTGTTTCTTGCCGGCGCTGGAAAGACCGTTGATGTCGAGGTGCACCATCAGACACGGGAACACTTACAATGAGCGTTCTTCACTACCCCCGGCCTTGGTAGGAAAAACCAGCCTATCCCCCTCTGCTGCAGCTGCCACCTGAGAGCTCCCGACGCGCACCGGAGTTGCCATAGGGTACACAAACCCAGCACGCTTTAGGTGCTTCCAGGCAGCAGCAGCGCAGAACTTAACAACCGGGAGGCAGGCGACGACGACGAGGAGGTGCGCTGGCAGTGATGGCGGGGCGGTGACAAGAGAATTGATGGCGCGGCTCACCGCGCCCGCTGTCTCGGTGACAGCGGCGACGATCGAGGCGACGGCCGATCTGTGGAGACGGTGAGCATCGGCCCGCCGGAGATACCGGGAAGCGAACACGTGTCGCCAGCCAGTTCTAAGCGAGACACAATTCCGCCATCAACCGGGACATCCCGGTGTGACGGGAGTGTCTTTCCGTGGAGAGAAGCAGAAGCAAAGAGGAAGTGTCACGCAGTCACCGCGATCGTTGATGGTCACGCCAAAACACGATCACGTGCGCGGGATGTTTTGTGCGGGCTGCATTTGCATTACGTGCTATTACAGGTAGAGCATATCTCACATCCGGGAAGTCTCCAAATAATCCAATATTTCTCATCCTTTAAATTTTCCAGGGTCACATTCAATTGGTGGCACTGGGCAAACTCGAGCGAACCCCGCTGGACGAGGTGTGTTCTGGTCCCCGTAAATGATGAGCGCGCGACTCGCCGCGGCGCGAGTCTATTGAGATCACATCCTCACTTATACCACCAGCAATAGTGGCTATCATTCTTGAGGAGCACGTGGGGGGATAGTGCTAGTCAAGAAAAAGATATTCAAACTACAACATAACGACTCGGGCCTGGGTCGAACAGACATCTTCCACACAAATCTGGTCTGGGTGCTAACCTTCCACGCCTCGTGGACGCGCACCAATGCGCCACCGAGTCGGCATCCATGTATGTCACCCCTTAACCAACTCAGGTGCTTAGCCAAAGTCAAGTGAGACAGCACGTACAGAGCGTGTGTAATTCTGTTTTGAAACGGAGCCGCACCGCGCCTCAAGCCAGGCTCTTCCACATATAACGCTTCCTACGTTTTCGAATGCGCTTACATAGTTCCATCCGGTCATAGCCAGTCAGTACTCGGCAAGAAAAGCAGGACTCGGGCCCGAGTCATGCATACGCTCTTCCGATTGGGCACGATGTCCGCTCAGATGACAGACATGCAGTCTGTATTTAACGATTTGATTTGTCCCAGTGATACAGAATAGGAGTGGAAGGAAGACAGTACCCATAGACATGACCAAAGTCATTCCTGCAAGCATAAGGTATGTTGAAATGTGGAGGTGAAATAAGGGCGTTCCAAAAAAAAAAAAAACTCGCGCTCCCATCTATGACTCGGGCCTGAGTCGAACAGGCGGCTTCCACAGAAAGGAGGGAGTTAGAAGTTCTAAGTGGTACGGATGCGGACCGTCCGCGACCGAGTCGTTGTAGATTGTCCTAAAACTCACCTGCTGGGAAGGAATTAGGGACGACGATGGTGCAGCGCAGAATATCCGCCAACACTTAGTGGCCGGGCTTTAAATTTTTACTCAACGCATACCACATCACCATCAGGATCTCAGTGTTCATGCATAATTTTTTCCCCGTCTAAATTAAACCAGTTTGAGTGCTTCTATAGATCTCGGGGTGCATTGATTCTACGCCCGACAGGTGCGCCAGTCATTTCCTCCTCTGACTTTTGCGGTTTATCGATTTCGCGGCTCCCCGTTCTCCCCGTCCCCTACTGTTGCGGCATACTTTGACACACTTTACTAAAGACTGCTATCCGGATTACTAATACCGAGCCGCTGGATATTGAACACCTCGAAGACGGATGCCGAAGCTAACGCGTCCTTTCGGCTGCTAAGTGGGTCAAAGGTCGCATCACCGCTGCCATCAAATCGTGATCATCAGTTCATCTGCGGCGGCGATGCGCGTCCGAGTTCGTAAATGCTTACTGAGGTTCAGCGCAGTATCCCCTTCGGGTCGCAATGCTGCGATTCATCGAATATAAATACGGGCAGTCTGGTCTCAACTACAGCATTCCCCACTTCCCTGCCAAGTTCCCTACAGACTTTCCCTACAACGCTTCTTCCCTGCAACACTATAACAGCAATGAAGGTCCTCATTTTAGGGTATTCTCGTTATCTCAATGACGCCAAATAGTTTGCCGAGACTTTTTGTTTTCCTTTACAGCGCAACTGGATTCATCGGCTTCTCCGCCGCACAGGCGCTGGCTCGGGCGGGACACACCGTGTACGGGCTCGCCCGCACGGAGGCCAAAGCCAAAACCCTTGCGGTGGAAGAAAGTGCGTGCACCTGTGTTCTGAGTCGAACAATTAATTGATGCTTCGAATCTAGTCATCCCTATCCTCGGCGACATCTCCTCGGACAACTGGCTCCCGCACATCGCGACCATCGACGCCGTGATCGAGACCGTCACCGCCAGCCCCGACGGCGCTCGCGGTACAATTGAGCGCGTGGTCAAGGCCGCTGCCGATAGTGCTGGGTCAAAAATGTTTGCGTAAATTACAAAGCAAATTTTACGCGTAAAAAACACGTAAATTACATTTTTTACCAGAGACCCTCAGATCCAGGCGTAAATAATGGTAAAAATCTGCCAGGGCAATGCTGGTGCTACATGGGACATGCGCACTCAGCAGAATACCCTGAAATCTGGTTGGGATATCCCTTTCAACATATTTTTTGTCAACCAAGATTTCTCAGGTAACCGAATGATGCCGTGTGTGCCGAGCGATCAGTGTCAAAGTGATCGCGAGATGTGACTTCCGAAAATGAGTGGAGAGAAGGCCAACACCCGGTGAACACTGCCCGGGCTCGAAAGAAACCACCTGGGACCACCAAAAATGGGTTACGGCAGGGGGGCCGGTAAATTTTACCATTATTTACATTATTTACATACTTTACATCCCATTCTTTACCGTAAAAAACGGTAAAATTTCGGGCCGGCGGCGCCGGTAAATTACAGTAAATAACAGGCTCCCGTTACTTAACGGCGGACCTCCTCCTCGCCGTGTGTAAATTACAAGCCAGAATCCTAATTTAACCCAGCACTAGCTGCCGAGCTGCGTCCTGCGGGGGCACCGCTCCTCACGTACATCTACACCTCCGGGACCTGGGTGCACGGCGACAACCGCACCGACGTCGTCACGGACACCACACCGCTCACGCAGTCAGTTCAACTCGTAGCGTGGCGCCCTGCTGTCGAACAGCTCGTCCTAAGCAGCAGCGCGGTGAACGGCATCGTGGTGCGCCCCGGCCTACTCTACGGGCGCAGCGGGTCCATTCTGGGGATGCTTTTTGCTACAGCCAAACAGGGGCGTATCGTGTGGCCAGGGACGCCCGGCGGAAGATGGTCAGTGGTGCATGCGGACGACCTGGCGGACCTGTATCTGCGCGTGACTGAGGGCGCTTCGGTCGCCTCGGGCAAAATTTTTGATGCCACCAATGGACACAGTCTGTCGGTGGACGACCTGCTTCAGCGACTGGTTGAGGTGTCGGGTGCGAAAGGTTACGAGTACAGGAAGCCTGACAATTGTGCGTGGTTGAGTTTTTATTGCTGAAACTAACTCACTGATGCGAGGAATCCACAGTGTTTGAGGAAGCGATAGCATCGAGCGGAGTCATTCGTCCGTATCTCGCCAATGCCTTGTTGGGATGGTCGCCGAAGAAGCCTGGCCTAGTTGATGGACTTGAGACTTACTACGCCACTTGGCTTGCTACTGCTGCTTGAGCGCGTCAAATATAATGTACTTACCTGTAGTGCTTATTCCGAACCGAGTACATATTGAGCGCCACCGAGTGGATATCTGCTCACTTCCACCCTGCGACAAAGTATTAGAAAAGGATTGCCTGCGCAGCTGAGCGAATGTGACTGAACAATATTCATTGTTGCGAACACCGCCGTTGGCTGCGAGAAAAATTATCATTCAGGAGAGAGCAGTTGAACGAAAGAGAAAACACACACACACACATTGATTCGAGAATGACTCGGGCCTGAGTCGATACCGTTCCAAATTCGACCGGGCGAGGAGAACTGGGAAGAAAATGAGTGACGAATATTTGTGGAGAAAAAGACATTGGGACCTACCGCAACATAACTCGGGCCTGATTCGAACAGGTTCTTCCACATAAGCAGATTACACCTGGGAAGTAGATATCGTGGATGCGCCCGCGCGCCACCGAGTCGATATACACTCACTTCCACCCCAAGGCAAGCTAAGTATCAGGAGGGATCAACTGAGCAGCTGAGTGGATGGGTCTGACCAAAAACACCGTCTTGAATGCGACCGGGCCAGGAGAACTGGGAAGAAAATGAGTGGCGAATATTTATCGAGAAAAAACTTCGTCCCTGGGCCCTGGCTGAAGACGCGCGCCACCAAGTCGATATTCAACTCCTTCCATCCTGGAATAAACGAAGTATCAGCAAGAGGAAAATGTAGCTGAGTGGATTGGACTGACCAAAAAAACCGTTCCGAAGACAAGTGGGCCAGGAGAGCTGGGAATAAAATGAGGGGCAAATATTCGTGGACAAAAAAATGTGGCTTCAACGTATGACCCGGGCCCGAGTCGAACAGGCCAAGAACAGGCACCTACAGAAGCACTCTCTCGTCTCCAAGCTTCGTAGATGCGCGCACGCCACCGAGTCAATATCCACTCACTTCAACTCTGAGACAAACAAAGTATTACAGCTCTTTGCGGAACAACAGGTGCGGACGATTTTTCTACCGTTTTTGATCTTTTTGACTCGCACACCTGCCCCGGGCTCAAATCTTGCCCGTTTGCCTTAAAAATTGAACCATTCAGATGGCATCGAGTATACGCAACGGATAGCCGGTTCGGAATTGTTATATTCAACATACAATGCTGTCGTGAGATCAGAATCCGTATTTAAGCGTACTTTTCGAAGTCGCACAGCTGTAAGGTCGTGTAGAGGAGCCAGAATCCCTTGGTTTTTTTATGAGAGTGTCTCGAGCCTATTACCTAGCGAACTGTCCATTCAGATACGGATTCTCCGCCCTACAAAAAATGAGATTCATTGGGCGAGTGCATCTATGGGTGAACTTTATTGGCCACAAAGAAATACTGCTATTCTGGTTTGTCCTCTGTCAGCAGATTCCTATCCTTTGACGGGGACACACCTTGGGATGCAATAAAGACATCCACCGACTCAAATCTAGACAAAAGGACCACTTCGTGCGTGCGACGGGCCGCAGTGGGTAGACCAATACAAGAAGAGCCAAAGTGTCTGGCCTTTGCCTGGAGACTTCAGCGGGGCCCGCCCTTGATGCCTGCAGTCACGGCAAACCCTCCCAATCACCCTCCAGGGTTGCAACACGCGCTGGCACTGCACGACGCGCAATGGCATATTGAGCTCATCGAGTCATTGCCACTTGGCAATTGCTGTGGTCTCTGTGCAGTGTATGGGCTTGGTGGACGACCCGCTGCTTGAGTTATTTCGAGTGATGGTGCTGAACGCGTGTATTCGGTGGTTTACGAGCATGGTACTAGTGCGTAGGAGAGAGGAGACAGAGTGACCGGGTCATGCCCCGTGAAATGTGACTGATGCCTTGCGGCCCGTCGCGCGACACGAAGTGGCACCTTGGTCGAGATTTGAGTTGGGAGATGTCTTTATTTGATCCTCAGGTGTGTCCTGGTCGCGGAATATGAATATGCTAACAGAGGACAGACCAGAACAGTGGGATTCCTCTGGCGATAATTTTCACCCATAATTGGCCGCTTGCACAATGAATCTCTTTTTTCATAAGACGAATTTGAGTAGACAGTCCGCTAGGTAATGGGTCCAGAATAGCCTAATAAAAAAACCAGGTGATTCTGGACAGTATACACGACACTGCAGCTGTGCGATACCAAAAAGAACGGTC